GGTTCTTCGCTTCTGGCGCAAGGCAAGTTGACTCCTAGTTTAATAGACTTACGAGGTGCTTAAGAGAATTAGACCAGTGGCTTACAGACTAGTTTTACCACCAGAGTTAGAGCGCATTCACAATGTGTTCTGTGTATATATACTCAGAAGATACAGTTTCTACCATTCACACGTCATACCCTTAGAGCAGATTGAGGTCATCTCGGATATGACCTATTCAGAAGAACCATTCAGAATCTTGGTGAGCGAAGTAAAAGAGTTAAGGAATAAAAAGATTCCTTTGGTTAAAGATCTATGGAGGAACCATGGAGTTGAGGAAGTGACGTGGGAAAGAGAGGACATGAAGCTTCAGTATCCTCACCTCTTCTACCCAGGTAAATTTGAGGACGAAAATTTATTTATGAAGAGAGAGTTGTAACACCCCGAATCTTGGGTTAGAAGTATTGGGCTAACCCAAGATGGTAATTGGTTTAAATATCTAGCTTGTAGGAATACTTGACCCAAATTAAAGAGGATTTGGACTTTAGGTAAGCCCAATAGTGAATAAAAATGGTGTTTTTATATGCAGTCAAAATTGAAGGGACCAAGGAAGCAATTATACCCTTGTTCAAAAATAAGTTGAAATCCTTAATTGTTTGGTGATATCACGTCTGATACACCCTCTTTTTCTCAACTCTCCTTTGTCTCTTCTTACTCTTTATCTTTATGTTCTTTCTTCTCTCCAAAACCAAGTAAAGGTAGAAACTTGGTAGTCTTACAACCCTAGTTTAGCAACATAAAGGTAAGAATCATGATCCTTATATCCCAAGATTTTTATCAAGCTCTCACGACACTCATTTCACCATAGTTGCAAGAAACAAGTTTAGAAGGGTTTTAGGAACTAAATGGTTCCAACCCATTTTTCAGATATTTTTAGCCTTAGAAAGTATTTTAAAACCCTCTTAATCCCTAGCAACAGTTAATAACCCTTGCATTTGGTTTTGTTTAGTGCAAGAGGTTGGAGAAGGCTCCTAAGATAAGGGGAAGGAAAAGTTTACTTTAGGTTGAGCCTTTGATGTTTCCAGCAGTATAACATTAAAGGTAACTCACTCTTGACTCAAATATACCATATGTAAGACATTTAGACGAAATATAGTAGGTTTCGTGAGCTTGAAGCATTTTCATGGTAGATTTCATGTTTTAGAGTTATAAACATGTTTAAAGCCCTATTTATGCTCCTTTGTATCTTCATAAAATATTAATAATGTTTGGGGACCTCACTAAGGTCTTTAGGATAGTAGAATAGGAGTTTTTGCACCTATTTTAGGCTCTGTACAGGTTGAGTTTCGATAATAGAGGGATAGTATCAAAACTTGTTCTTCTTCTCGGGCAAACTCGTGAGTTTCTGGGCAAGAGTATCGATACTCAATACTTTGGGTCATAGTTTTGAGACTCCCAGAAAGTATTAAAAATATGTGGTTCAGAATGTTTAAAAGTATCGATACTTGTAAAAAGTATTGAAACTTTTGCAGGAGTATCATTACTCTTGGGCTAGTATCTATACTTTGAGTCTGTTTTGGACAAAAAGGTCAATTTTTAAGGGAATTAGACTCGATGTACTCCAACACTTCAGTATATCCTCAAATAAGACTTCAAGCGATAACAATAATTAATATCATAACAGTAGAAACAAAAATAGCTAGGTTTACATAAAACTAGCCTTGTTTGACGCTCGGGAAACAATCAGGACACCCGAATTCCTTTTAGATGAAATACGATAGTCAGTGGATCCAAGTCAGTGCCATGGCACTACAACAGCCGACTGGGCGCCAGATACCCCAAGACTCGACGGAGTAAGTCGGTGGGTGTACGTTCCGATGCAGAATTTCGGATCTCACCCATGAGTGCCTGATGGTGCTTTGGCAGTGCTAGAGGGGTGCGTGAGCTCCGAGATGTAGAATCCCTCAGTCGCACCATGATAGCAGCCACATATTAGTAGTACAATATTCAACATGTTTAGACATGTGCCACTTATCATTTCATCTAGTGAATGCATATAGTATTTAGTGAGGCACTAAGCTCGTAAGCTCGGCGTTCGGAATGCGTTTTTGTGCGCAAGTTATTAGGGGCAGATTTTCAAGAGCTATCGTCATCAGATATTCCAGTGCAGCAGAGCAGATTTCCGTAGACCTTTCAGGGTAGTCTTGAGTCAAATTTAGAGGACATGTACTGTTATGGGCTCGTATTATGTTTTCAGTCGTAACTTTTTTTTGGAACTCAAATTTTGTATTATTTTTTGGATGTATTTTGGGAGCTCCCCATTAATTGTAAACCTAATTTATTATTATGTTTATATATTACGTTATGGATGTCTAAATTTCAGAGATTTACAATCAGTTTTAAAAGAAAATTTTGTGTCACTATTTCAGTATCCCGTATAACATTGTAATCTATGGATCTTCGGGTTTAACTGGATTAGGGTGTTACAGATACTAAACCGGGTATCAATATTAGATTTAGATTCGATGTTTAGAAAATAATCTCAGTATCGATACCCTTATGGAGAGTACTCAACACCCCGCCACTATGAGACCAACTAAGTATATAGATAGATATGCCGGAAAAACCGAAAATGCTTACCTAAACCTTGCGCCACGCTCCAATCCTACGGCAGCGGCGACCGTTAGGTATCCTAACCCACAAACACACTTTGGATTTGTTTTCTCTTGAGATCTGTTTCCCCTGCAATGTTATCACATTTTTTATTTTGCAGGCTCGAGAGGAATATGACGCACTTCAAATGCTATATGAATGTAAAACCTAGCAAAATAACACTTGTCCACCAAATTCCACTAAATATGCTCATGGTTTAATAACCATTCAAACTTCCTCTTGCTTTCATTTCAATATTTTAGCATTATAAAATTATAAATAATTAATATATTAAATATTAGGGTAAACTACACATTTAGTACTTCAACTATCGTTTTTTATTTGTTTTAGTATCTAAACTTTTAATTTTTTTAAAAATCATACCTAATGTTTAGTTTTTGTTTCATTTTGTTATTAAAATGCACAAAAATTGATAGTTTAGGTATTAAATGTGTAAATTTTTTAACCATGGGAGTACTAAAATAAAACAAAAACTACACTTTAGGTAAAAGTTTGAAAAAAATTGAAAGTTTAAGTACTAAAATGAATTAAAACTGATAATTTAGGTATCAAACATAATTTACCATAAATATTAAATATATTTAATAATTTAGTTAAAATGAATTACATTTTCTGAAAACATTTTTTGGAAAACATTTTATGGTGTTTGAAAGAGGTTGCGTAAACCATTTTCCACTAGTTGATGAATTTCTTAAAAATTATTTATTACAAATATTAAACAAATAATAATTTTATTTATCATAAAATTAATTATTTATTTAAAAGATATTAAAATTTTATTTATTTATTATAAGTATTTATTAAAATAAAAATATTGTAAATTATTTTAATTATTTATTACACTAATAGTATTATATTATATTTTAAAAAGTATTAATTAATATATTTTAATATATTTATTAAAATATCATTAGATAATTATATCAATATTAAATACATAAATAATATTATTCATTATTAATAATTTAATAATATTATTTCTATGAAATTAATAAATAATATAAATTTTATTAATATTTTATTATATATTATTAAAATAAAAATATAATATCTTATATTATTATACTATTTTCTAATAATATTAAAAATATTATATTATATTAAATATTAATTAATATATTTAAATATTTTAATGATTAATATTTTGATTAAAATATTATTATTAAAATATTTTTTAATGTTAAATTCATAAAATAAAATTATTTTGATATTTATTCTTTTAAGTGAAAAGTCAAAAATGAACTACGAAAATTAGACATTAAGTCATTTACCAGAAAACAAAAAAGAAATTTTGTTGACAAGAAAAATGTTTTACGTTGACCAACCAGTTTTCCTCCAACCAAACACTGGAAAATAAGAAAAATATTTTCTGAAAATATTTTCGTGAAACAAACAGACCATTAAATTTATTAATATTCACTAAATCAAACTCTTTGTATTATTATGTTTATAATTCTAGATAAAGCATTAAGAATAAGAATTGAGAATAATATATAAAAGAATTTAATATTTTAGGGATATTATTATAATACTTAAAAATTTAGAGATAATAGCATTTTCACTATTTTAACCAAAAACATATTTACTATTATAATAAATTATTATTTGATAATAATTTTTTCGTTAATCAAATGTAAAAATATAATTCTAAAAAAAATTAATAATAATTTTAGTGAAACAAACATATCGTATCCATTTTAGTCACAATCCTCGTTCACCGCTTTATTATTCTCCCCTTCAAAGCAAGCCATAACCCCCTAAAAGCCTCATTTTAGCTTGGCTTAGTATAAATATAAGCATCTAAATTATATCTCAAATTAATTTTTAGTGTCTAAATTTTTTTTTATTAAAAATAAATATCTACTATTTTCTCATTATATTTTTAAGTATTTATTTAAAAAAAATTGTTAAGTGACATGTGTCATGTTTATATTTTTATTTTTAAAAAAATAAATATTATTTAAAAAAAATTTAAACACAACACATATCACTTATTGATTTTTTAATCGTAAACATCTAAAATGTAATAAAATAATATTAAATATATATTTTATAAAAAAAATGTTATAGACACAAAAAAAAATCAATTTAAGCTATAGGTTAGACACCTAAAATATATTAAGCCTTTTAGCTATCACAGTTCACATCAAAAAGCAGCCGCACACCTCCGTTTCTTCCCCATTTAGAAAACCGAACCGAACTAATCGAACAACTTGTCACAACAAATAACATCCACGTGTAGAAATTCTGTGCTTGGAATTTTTGTTTCCACCAACCGTCTACGCGTTCATTTTCCACCGGCTAAATCTCTCAACGAGCGTATTAAAATGGCCGCGAAAAGAAGTAAAGAACCGCGAATATCTACCAAAAATGGAGGAGCAAGCTTGTTGCAGATCAGGAAAAGAGAAAGAAAATGGAGAATCGAAAGGCATCGCCGTAAGCGGCATGCAATTCGCATACGAATTGCAGCGTCCGCTCTTCTTCGATTTCAATCTCGATATCGCTCGTGGATCTCGTTGCCTTCTCGTCGGTGCCAACGGATCTGGTAATTTCAATCACTTTCGATTTCATTTTTTTCGAACAGCGATGATTTCTTGAAAAATATAGTTGATTCTGTTTTTTTTTTCATTCGCGAGCAGGGAAGACGACATTGTTGAAAATTTTAGCAGGAAAGCATATGGTTGGTGGAAGAGATGTTGTGAGAGTACTTAACCGTTCGGCTTTTCACGACACTGAACTTGTTTGTAACGGTGACTTAGCTTATTTGGGAGGATCTTGGAGTAAAACTATTGGCTCCGCTGTCAGTAAATTTTCCTAACTTTTTTTTAGATTAGGTTTAATTATGAAATTTGAGAAACTAGTCTTTCCATTCAGAAATTTGATATGTTAACTGATACTATAGACTGACTTCTCTGTTTCGGTGAAAGATGAGGATAAACTTTGACAAATTAACTTTTCAGGTTTCTTAAAGTAGAGGATGAATTTTGTAATTAGGCCTAGTGATCAATATCCACCATTTTTTAACTGTAATTTTACTGGGACCAACCTATGCAGGGGGAGGTTCCATTGCAGGGGGATTTCTCAGCGGAACACATGATATTCGGAGGTGAGTGCAAATTAGCCTCTTGTTTGATTTCTGCTTTCCTTATTTGCTCCTTGGTTCACTTTTGAAAGTAAACAAGTTTCTTTTTGGATCCAATTTTATTGTTGGCAGTTGAAGGGATTGATCCAGTGAGGAGAGATCATTTGATTGAGTTACTTGATATTGATTTGCAATGGCGAATGCATAAGGTATCTGATGGGCAACGTCGTCGAGTCCAAATTTGTATGGGTCTTCTTCATCCTTTTCAGGTATATTTGAAGTTATGAATGTGCTATTTTTGTGTGATCAATAACAGTAAAGCTTTAGGAATCTCCTATTGCTATAATCTAGGACTGATTACTCGTTCTTGGTAATTTTGTGACTTTGCTATTTTGCATGATTACTAGTTTTTCTAACTTTGTTTGCTGCAAACTTCATTTTTCAGGTTCTTTTGCTAGATGAGGTTACGGTGGACCTCGACGTTGTTGCAAGGATGGATTTACTTGATTTCTTTAAGGAAGAATGTCAACAGGTACTTACTTCAGTTCTTTGTCTTACATTTAAATGCTGCGTGGACTGATATTGGAGAGTTATAAAATGAGAGATTGCATATGAATAGGGTGCTGGAACGTTGCTGTGTTGAATAATTCATAGGAAAAGCATGTAACTGTTATAGCTTTTCATCATCTGGTATATTCTTTCTGCAACAATCAGTAAAACTGAGAGTTTCATTTTGATTATAGACTATTTCTTCATTTTTACATGGGCCATAGCATAAATGTTCTTGTTACTGTTCAGTCACTCCCATTGTTTGATTGCTTTATTCTACGATCAATCTCATGTTCATTCTCTAGCTAATATTTACTATTGTATTAGAGAGAGCCACAATCGTATATGCTACCCACATTTTTGATGGGCTGGAGACATGGGCAACACATCTGGCTTACATCCAAGATGGTCAATTGAGAGATCTGAGAAGTTAACCGAAACAAAAGAGTTGAAAAGCTCAGAAAATTTGCTCTCAGTTGTTGAAGCCTGGCTTCGCTCCGAAACCAAGTCTGAGAAAAAGAAACCGTCCAACACCCCTTCCCAAGTCCAGAAGTCCTCACCTTACTGTACTTCTCCTTTCATGTCGTCGAGGCACATGGCATACTACCGCTGATCTCCCTAAATCCGGTTACTTTTCAATAGTTTTTATATGATTAGCAGAGTTCTTTCATAGTCGTCTACTGACATATAGTCGGCCGCAATTGCTTTATATGCTTCTTCAGCTCATGGTTACTCCATTGGTAAACTATATATATGTTTCTCTCCTTTCGGCAGCTCTGTTTAAAAGCGTAAAGGGTGAAACTGATGGTCTTCATTTGGCAAATAGTATTGTAATTTGTAATCTACTTTGGTAGTGAAATATCTATATGATATTTGTTGAAAGAAGTCAATGCTGAATAGGTGCTTCTGGATCTTGTTGGTTAGAAGCTCTGATCCAACAATATGCCTTCGGCCAATAATGTTGTAATCTCATTTAATTAATGCAAATGCTTTGAGTTCGATTTACATATATCTTCTATGTTTTACTTTGTATATTAACGGAGGCAATGTTGTTTGTTTTTCTGGGTGCAAGCCCTAAATGGTATAATTTCATTTTTAGTCCCTTTAGAATTTTATGTTTTAAAATTAAAAATTTGTGAAATGCTCTTTTGACCCTCATAATGATAAGTTTTAGTTTAATCCTAATAAAAGAAATATGTAATTTAAACTAAAAGTGATGGAGTTATGTTTTGATAATTTAAACTTAGTTTTGTTTTAAAAAAAAGAAAGTATCTTCACCCTTTTCTATGGAACATATATATTATATTAATATTAAATACGATTCTAAATATGTTATGGGGCTCTATAATTATTCTACAACTTGAGTTTTGATGTGTCATTATTGATGTTGCTTTCACCCGTCGGCATAAATGTGTCATTATCATTAACCAAACCATGCATTATTATTACTTCTCAAACTAATTAATTATCTGTGTAGACCCAAAAAATAATTGTACCTTTTAAACTGTCAAATATTTTGACAAATTAATTTAACGAGTTTGAATTTTCAAAAAAATAATAATTTAACGAGTTTGAGATTTCAATCTTTTGAAAAAAATTAAAGTTTAAAATTTAATATTATAAATAAATTAAACTAAATCGATAAAATCAGTTCCATAAGAAGTCCACCCTCATTTATTGTATTAGAAATCTAAATTTATTGAGATGTCATTTTAAAAAATCAAACTTGTGGATTACATATATAAATATATTAAAAAGATTTTTTAATTGATTTATAAACCAAATATTACTAATTATAGAACAAATAAATTATAATACTATATGGGCTTAATAAAGCAGCCTTGACCAAGAACAGTATGAGTTGAGATCTTGATTATAGTATTTTCATGACATAGGCTTATTTGCTAATATTATAATGACTTAATTTTATATGTGATCAAACTAATAATGAGAATACGTTAAGGGTTAAAAGAATTGGTTTGATTTTAAATTGGTCCTTAGGCTATGATTTTATTCTAAATTAGTCTTTAAATTTTAAAACATTACATCTTAATCCTCAAACTTATTATTGTTTTATTTCGATCATTTTGGTTAATAAAAAACTAATATGTTTTGAAGATTCTAAAAAACATTAGGTTACACCTTTCATTTCACGACCTTTAAAAATATATTAATTCTTTTAATTAGTAGAGTTAATAACATGTTAACAAATGATCAAAATATAATGATATTAATAGTAAATGATAGAAAATATTTTAAAGTTTAGGATCTAATTTAGAATATAGATCATAACTTAAAGAAGATATTTTAACGATCAAAGACTAATTTAAAATAAATCATAATGTAAAGACTGATATAAAATTTAGAAACTAATTTAAGAAGAAATCATAATTTAGACATCTCCTTTATATTTATGTTTGCATAATTTTCTTCTTATCATGAAAAAATAACTACCAAAATGACGTGTGCTTGTCTTTTAGCTTCTTAGCTTCATCTCCGTGTCCCAGCTATGCCGGCCGCGCTGTTTCATTAAACAAATCCCATGAAATATTCAAGTCTCCGGTCATCCTCCCCTTTAAAAATGGTCTCCACCTTTCCTTTATCCCCTCCACCATTTTTCTGCTTCACCTTTGAAATGATGAAAGGAGGGTTCCAAGTGGTTCATGCGAGTACTCTAGATATGATCCAGCCTCATCGTGAACCTATATGGGATTTCACTACCACCGCTGTCCCGAGGCAGCAAGCACTCGAGACTCGCTGCGCACACTCGGAGAGAAACGAACTCTCCGAGTGGGTCGAACAAGTCACCAAGCAACTCATTGATGACTTGCCGGCCGAGAATACCGAAACGGATGATCACCGTGCCGCCTTGCAGGCGGCTGATACATCATCGGTTCTCGGTGATTTTAGGATGATGAAAAGTGTCAGAGGTTGCGACGAAGAGGTTCGGTTCGATGAGCGATGTTTAAGCTTGATAACGCTTCTTCTAGAGTGTGCGGTTGCCATCTCCATTGACAACCTCGGTGAAGCTCGTAGAATGTTGCTTGAACTGACCCAAATGGCTTCTCCCTATGCTCTTTCTTGTGCCGAAAGGGTTGTCGCGTATTTCGCTAACGCCATGTCTAGTAGGGTTATTAATTCGTGGTTGGGGATTTGTTCTCCCTTGATTAACTTCAAAAGCGTTCATTGTGCTTTCCAAGGGTTCAACAATGTCTCCCCCTTCATCAAGTTCGCTCACTTCACCTCCAACCAAGCCATCCTCGAAGCGTTTCATCGGCGCGATCGGGTTCATGTTATCGACCTCGATATAATGCAGGGGTTGCAGTGGCCGGCCTTGTTTCATATTCTCGCGACACGTATGGAAGGCCATCCACATGTCACCATGACCGGCTTTGGTACTTCGATGAAGCTTCTAGTGGAGACCGGTAAACAGCTCTCAAATTTCGCTAAACGACTCGGGATGTCATTCGAATTCCACCCAGTCGCGAAGAAATTCGGGGAAATCGACGTCACTACTGTACAACTCCGAAGAGGGGAGACGCTAGCGGTTCACTGGCTACAACATTCATTGTATGACGCCACGGGACCGGATTGGAAGACAATGAGACTAATCGAGCAAATGGCTCCTACAGTTGTCACATTGGTCGAGCAGGACCTGTCCCATGGTGGATCATTTCTAGACCGGTTTGTCGGATCCCTGCATTATTATTCCACCATATTCGATTCACTCGGGGAGTACTTACCAGCTGATGACCCCAACCGGCATCACATCGAGCATTGCCTTTTTTATAGGGAAATCAACAACATATTGGCAATCGGGGGGCCAGCGAGAAGCGGGGAAGAGAAGTTCAAGCAATGGAGAACTGAGCTCGAAGCAAGGAATTTCTTAGTGCAAGTGCCGATGAGCGGCAACTCGATGGCGCAGGCACAGCTGATACTGAACATGTTCCCTCCGGCTCATGGCTATAGGTTGGTACAAGGAGATGGCACCCTTAGGCTCGGCTGGAAAGATACTAGCTTGTTTACTGCTTCGGCTTGGACATCCCATTCCTCTCGGTAGCCTTCTTTTGCAGTGATTCTTAATTATCTTCGCCCTTTGTATTACATATATATTCAATCTCAGCAATGCAGATCCTTCTCATAGCTTACTATTTTTGTCACATAAAACCAAGAAATACTTGGTAAATAATAATATTTAATTCGAATTTACATTTGAATAATAATATTTTAATAATTTGTCGATGAATTTAAATTAAATATTGTTTTCAAATTTGAGGTATAAATATTCAACCGAATCATTTTGGAGATATAAAATAGACCCTCCGAATGTTCAATTCTAATTTCATCTCTTGTGATGAATTGATTTTTTTATAGTTATATGACAAAATAAAAATATATTACTAATTGAGTAACTAACTACATAATTTACATTAAATTTAATTTGTTGTTTTTTACAAATTTGGGGTTTAAATATTTAAATTCCTCGTAAATACATGAAATATCCCTCATAAACTTCAAACTTGCCAATGAGGTCCCTCTCATAAACCTAAAATTTTAAGGGTAAAGTAACAAATGGTCCCTCAACTATAGTGTATTACTTTATTAAGTCCATCAACTATTGAAAGATACAAAATGATCCTCCAACTATAGAGTGTTGATTTGTGGAGTCCCTCGACTATTAAAAGTTATAAAATGGTACCCAACTATTCATTATGCTTCAAACTTGTCCTTTTCTATTAAAAATGATCATATTTTGATCTGAACGTTAACCTACAAAAACTATGATATGATAAAACCGATCCCATAATCTTAAACGACTATCATATCTCAGTTATCATGTTAACGTCCAACTTAGACAACGATCAATTTTTTAACGGAAAATGACAAGTTTAGAACATAATGAATAGTCGGTGAATATTTTATAACTTTTAATAGTCGAGGGATTCAACAAAATAACTCTATAGTCAATGATTATTTTATAACTTTTAATAGTTGATGGACTTAATTAAGTAATACTCTATAGTTGGGGTCCATTCGTGTACTTTACCCAACTTGTAATTACTCAGATTTTTTTCACGTTATAAAAATGGACAAACACTAGAGGCCCAATGCACGAACGGTGTAGATGGATAGAGAAGTAAATCCAACGGTGAAGCGTCATTCAAAATTAATACTATTACTATCAAATAATTTCCAATGGGAAAACGGATAAGGATTACGGATGAGATGACCATTGGGTCAACGCAAGTAGACCGTATAAATAAGTATCTTATTTTCCTTTACAGATTTTATAATTTTCACCTTCAAAAACACTGAAACGCTCCATGCGCTTCGCTGTTTTCTATATTTCCTCTTCCTTCTCCTCCGCACCCAGCGGTTTCCTCTCTATAAGAGAACTCCGATAGTGATAATCCTTTTTTCTCTTCATTCGTTATTATTAAGTATTATCATTTCTTATAGAACAGAAACTGTTCGAGGAAAGTGATTTCTAAGTTTTGTTTTCGAGGCAGAACGGGTTGGATTTCGAAGAATTTGATGTTTCACTTTATTCATAGCTTGATGATTTAGGATTCCGGTGAACGGCGTGATTTAAGCGGTGAATTTCCTCTTCCGGTGAGAAATAAAAGATCGTGTAGTCTTTTTCCTAACAATCGGAGTGACGTTTTGTAATTATTTATTTCTATTTTACCGTCAAGTCACCTAGATTTTGGAAGCGCTTTTTTTAGCTAGAAATTTATTGAAAGGCGAAGTGGCGTTGGTTTCTTTTGACTGTTGCGTTTGAAGAATTAAAAGAGTTAGGGTTTTAGAGTGGTTGATAAGGTAGACGAGATGACGTTATCTTTAAAAATGGAGATTGATACAATGGAAGACGTTATTTGTTTGGACCCCGAGCTTTTGCAGCTTCCTGAAGTGTCTCCATTTGCACTAAAAACCAGTCCTCAACTTGTCGAGGACTTGTTCGCTCAATGGCTTTCGCTTCCAGAGACCGGCCATCTGGTACTTCGTTGTTTTGAAAAACTAAAAGTATTGTTACTATTGATTTGTCTGTATACATGTTTTTTTTCATTAATGTATAGATAGTAGATTTTGTTTTCAACTTTAGTTGGCTTCCTAGTGTTGAATATAATGTCTAATATTGTTAACTGTTGTAATTTGAAAGTCAAATTATTTTAATTAAAGCAAGAATTAGTTATATGTTGATGTCTTTGAATCTGACTGGTGAACCTCAAGAGTAATGACCGATGTAACTTTCCATGAATGGATGGTCATTGCCACCAGTTCCAAATAAAACCCATAGGAAGAAAAGTTATGAGGATTAGATAGAAGTATAAAAACTAGTTATTTCAAGGGAGGGAGTCAAGGACATAATCACAGACATCGCCTCAATATTGTAAAAAAGAAAAGGAGTTGAATGTTGTTGATATTTCAGCATTCTGTGTGATGGATCATGAGTTATCATTGTTAATAATGTCACTTTGGTATTTCGAAAGTGGGAAATAACAGTGTGTATATGGGTACTACCTTATATTTATTGCAGCCTAGAACACTCTGACATTTTGACTCATAGTCATAGTAACTTATTTTGAAGCTTTTATGGTAGTATGTGAAAATACTCGATTTGAGTCATGTTAATGCCATTAGTTCATGTTAATAGACTATGAATTTCATTTCTATTAACATGGTATTCTACAGACACAAGTATGTCTGCATTATTTGCATAAGTTGGATGTGTTACGTGATTCTATCCTTATATTCAATGTAAGTTATGTTTAGAGTTTGATGTGTGAATTTAACTTGTACTTCTTCAATCCTCCCTTTATTTTTGAGGAAAAAGTGTTTTTTTTTTGGGGGGGGGAGGGGGAATTGTAATACTGCATGTGTTACCTATGAATTTATGGTAGAATTTTGTAGATTTTTAGATTTTTTTCCATTATTACTTTTTAAATGCCTATGATAGGATAATTTTGCTTTCCCTGATGACTGAATTTGATACAGTAGGGAACCATTGCAAGTTAGAATCTTTCATGCAGTTAGGTCATTTTCTTTTCTGTTTGCTAGATTTTCCTTTGCTAGCAATTTGTCTCTATCAATCAATGAATGTTTTTTTTTCATGCAACAAACTTTCATTTCTTGAGCACAGGTGAAATCTTTATTGATGATACGAAGGCAGGGATTGCAGTAAATGCCTGTGCGAATTTTTCTAATGCAAATGCTGTTGGGAGCAATTCTTTGCCTTCCATGTTTTCCAGTGCCAGTGCACCTCCACTCTCCCCAAGAAGCTCATCTGGTTCTCCTCGCTCATCCAAGCAGAAATCCAGCTCTTCAGCTCTTGGCTCTCCATTGAAATTAGTTAGTGAACCAATGCAAGAAGTTATTCCACAGGTTGGTCTGATATTGGAAGTCCTCTTCCGGATATTGTTTTATTGATAGCTTTCTTAGATTTTTGGTTTTGGGCTTTACCACCTAAAATTGCTAATGTAATTATAAAGTTTGTCTGATAATTGCTTGCAGTTTTATTTCCAAAATGGTCGTCCTCCTACAAAGGAATTGAAAGAACAACAACTTTCTAAAATTAACCACCTTTTCGATAATCCTCTAAATGGATTGAAAATTGATGGTGAGATATATAATTGATCTTTATATGTTCATTTATATTTTAAGTTGCGCCCCCCTCCCCTCCAACCCCCCGCGCGACACATTATCTTCCAGTCCTTAATGTTTAAAAAATCCCTTGAAAACTGAACAAAATAATGTTTTACTCTGGCTATGCAGAGTTTAAAACAGTGACAAAGGAAGTTTGCAAGCTACCATCTTTCCTCTCTTCCGCGCTTTTTAGAAAGATAGATGTAGACTGTGTGGGATTCGTGACCAGGTATGCGCTCTATTCATTTTATAGATAAATAGTTGTTTTATGTGAATAACCCTGACTGCTTAAGTACAGTCTGGTGAAAGATGGTGTTGACTGCATTATTTGATAGTTCTTCTATCATACATTATTAAGTTTAACACTTTGTTTCAGAGATGCTTTCATTAAGTATTGGATGGATGGTAATATGCTGACAATGGATATAGCAACTCAAGTATTTGAAATTCTTAAGCGGCCAGGCTGCAGTCACCTCACCCAGGTTTAATTTGCCCTCCATCTCTCTTAAGTTTTCCTTTTGTTTTCGCTTTGAAAAAATTGTTTTGATTAACACTTGTTTCTCTGTTAAAATTATCCTCTCAAAGGCCTAAAGTTTCATGTATATTTTCTTCATAAGATCATTTTGGATTTGGGATGCAGGTTGACTTCAAACATGTTGTTCGAGAGCTTTTGGCAACCCATCCAGGATTAAAATTTTTGCAAAACACACCTGAATTTCAAGATAGATACGGTATGCATTTTCTTAATTGTGAGTTATTTTAATAATGTCTATCAAGTTGTGGATTTATCTCCTTTTTCCATGTCTTTTCTTTTTTGAAATTATCTGTGCAAAGCCAGATTAGTATTTGAACATGTAATCTACTAGAAAATATGAATGCAGTCCCATTGATTGATTCAATCTCAAGGGTGGTGATGTTGACGGGAGAACATCATAGGCATAATTTATCAAGGTGTTGTCTGCATAGTATACGGCATAAGTATAATGTTCTTATTGTCTCCTCGATCCATCTTACCTTTTTTATATATAAAAAAAGAGAGAATAAATTATGATTGAACTCTGGCAGGTTTTTATGTCAATGGCAGGATTTCAAATCGCGGTCGCGTTTTCGGTTATTTCGGATTTACCGTGATTGCGGCCGTCGCAGGTAACTCGGACGGCGGCGAAACCGCTATATCGCAGCTGAAATCGCGGTCGCGGACCGTTTTTTAAAACCCTGGTCAATGGGTTTTGTGAATAACTCAAACTGAAATAATATAATTGAAGTCAATCCTAAGCCCTACCCTAGTGGGTTGACAAGCACTTATAAACATGGTTTTTTTACAACAGCAATCCCGACTTGGAAAGCTGAATTTGTACATGCCAATTTTATAATTTCCTGTGGAAGTCTCATCAAAAATTGATTCTTCAACCTCAT